ATTGTCTGTAGATGTTTGGATATTAAGTTCATAAAGTTAATTTGTGTCCAGATTAAGTTCATAAAGTTAACTTATATACACACTGGATGTCTATATGCTAGAAACGGCAAAATAATCATCATCATCATCATCATTAATGACAAAAGGAAGGCCTTATAGACTCTGAATGTAATTTAAATTTTGTTGTAGATGTAGCAGGAATAAATATATTTTTGCACGTCTATGTTTTATAGTTACATTTCATAGTTTGTGCAAATGGATCTGCCAGGTTTAGCTACAAAGTCCGTTTCTTACAGTAATCTGGTCGATATACTACTAATTAACTAACAGCGTCACAGTTTGGTTATTTTTAGAAACATTTGAAAAATCCTTACCGCCAATGAAGTGATCAGAGCAAATCCGGCGGAATTAGAGGCCCGTGTTTCCTGTGGAGATTATCCAGTTGATGCTGAGCAGGAAAGTTTCCCGCCTTCCCGGGACTAAAAACCTTCCCTTCTCTGTTTTATCGCCTTTGTTTTTACCTCCTTGAGTCCAACAATATCCAACATCGCGGTTCTGTAACGCGAACAACGAGGCGGAAAGCTGCTTCCCAACTCTCAAGATGGCGAAAGATCATTAAAAAAAGACAAAGATGGCGACGGAGCACCGGATATGGGGGATGTGACGTCATGTAGGAACTATTTTTAAAGTCCCCTCAAAATGTATCCTGTGATCTGTATTATTGCTAAATATACAATCAGAAATCTCAGGACTCTCCGCTATAACAGCTGAAATGTCCATTTTGAACATATGTTTAATCACCATATGCAAAACTTTTCATTCACAATGAAACCCTGCTGTGAAATCTCTGATTGAATCCCTCAATTTAATAAAAATAACAATATATTTATTTCTAATTATATAAAATATTTTCAAAAAAACTATTTTTTAAATTAATTTAGTTTTTTTGTTTGTTTATATGCTTTTTCTATTTTCTTTTAATTTATTGTGTATTATTCTATTTTCTTTTCTTTCAAATATATATGTCTAGCTTTCTTAAATTTATCTAACCATGGATTCTGTGTATATTATATCTTGTGATTGTTTTTGATGTGATTGTTTTGAAAAAAACATATGTACAAGTGTTTATACCAATTTTCATTTAATTTGAAGAAGTTGGGAGGCAGGGAGAAAAGTAGAAGAGGAACCCAGAACTATAAAAATCTGTTTTATGATGTCAATAATGTAAAATTAAAGAGGCTTTAGTAAACACATCATGTTTATCTTCATATAAACTGCCTTACTTATACATTTAACAGTAACTCTACAACATGTTAAGCTTTATTTTACTGGTTTACAGTAACATTTGATAGGTTAATGGAATAGCTACATGCCTGACCTTTGACCTCAGGTGAACAGATGTCATTTTCCCCGTTAGCCAGCAGCTGACAGGTTCTGCTCAGATCAGGTTCTGGGGATTTTGTCAGATTACTGAAGTTCCTCCTGGTAGTTTGGTAATAATGGTGTGAAGTCACCCTGATGTGAAACCGCATCCGAGATTCAAAACGAAACCGTTTCACTTCAGAGGCTTAGAGCTGTTGAGCAAATCCAGAGCTCCGCTAAGCTGCCGGTGCAAAATACCGCTTTGTTTGCTCAAAATCTCCTCGAAAAGCCTCGCAACAGAAACACAGGACAGATTATCCTCTGTTGGAGAGGAAATTAAATTCTTCAGATGGGGCACTTAAACGGGCTCAGTGGTGATGCTGTGCTGCTGTGTGTGTGCGTGTGTGTGTGTGTGTGTGAGTGTGAAACTGCTACAACAACTGGGTTCATGATGCATCCTGGTTGCTATATTTCTTCCAAAATTGTAGAGTTCTCAGTTGTTCTTTCAGACGGCACCGATCGCTACGCTCAGTTTCCAGCTGCAGTTATCGCGTCAGTGAGGGTTTTCTATGAGTTTGAGGTTTCCACATGTTTATTCCAGCACAGCTACGTGAATATCCAACCACAGCCTTTCAAACTTAATTAGGTTTGGGCTGGACTTTGACTAGACCGCTCCAACACTATAGAGGGCAACAGGTGCAAATGCATTGAAAACACATGAATGACACAAACTCCAAAATACAAAACACAAAAAAAAAATAACGCAAACAAAAAAATGCTGCAACCACAGAAGCAAAGATGGCTGAAATATCAAAAACAACAGAAAGTATAAAACTCTACAAACTTACTCCAAATCCTCCGGACCACAAGGGGGAGTGGACCAACAAATCATACGGGACCCAACAGTAAAGACAGGATGTCATGATCCAACAGGACGTCCAGGAGAAAGTTGGAGAAATAAAGAAAAAGAGTCTTTTATAATTTTATAGGTTAGCAGCATATTTACAGAGGTAACATTACCTCCACCAGGCTCCCCCTGGTGGTCTGGAGGACTTTATATTTGCTGCTGTTTTTATGTATTTTAAATATTTTTTCCATTTACATAATTAATGTGTAAACTGTTTGCACCAGTTGTCCACCGTACTGCATCCTATTTCCTTCATTCTGCTCCAAATGTGGACCTTAACATTTTACTCTGAAAATCTTCGAAGTTCGTGATGGACGTGATGACAGCAATGGGTCGTTCTGATGGGCAGCAACAGTTGCTGCTCTGACATCATTGCTGATGTCTTTCAACCCTGGAATTGTTTTAACCTGAATTATAGCAGCCAAACCTGCTTTTAATCAGAAGTGATCCAGTTCATTTCACAGTCAGCTAACAGAAGCAGTGAGGGTGTACTTAGTTTTCCAATCAAATCTTTATGTTCCTGTTTGCTCATTAAATCCCAACAGGCTGGAGTCTGTTGTGGGTGTTTTAAATATTTGAGGTTTAGAAGCTTAAACACCTTTTATTACATCCTGGTATTTAACATGTTTGAACTGGAAGAGGACATGTTCTTATTTTGAGCGTTAGACTTTAAAGAAGCTGAAACTTAAAGTAAATGAGTTTTATTTTAGTTATTCAGTTTTGTGGTAAATCTGAATCGGGTCATTCTGCTGAAAACTGGGTCAATCTGGATATTAATGGAAACTATTTTGTGCTGAATTGTTGGTGAAAACTGAAGCATTTGCTTTCAGAAAGAGACTCTGGTGAGATTTTCCTCCAGTGGAACCAGTTCAACAGAACCCAGTGGCCCATCAGGAAACTGGTTCCCATTAAGGGGTTTTTAGGAACCAGTTCACCTGGCAGGAATCAGCCTGAACCTTCCTGAACAGCTTCTGGGGACGGCGGTTCGGGTCCAGCCGGCTAGCAGCAGAACCAGAACATAACGACCCGGCGCTGCCAGGGCTGGAGGGTTTCTCAGGCTTTGTGTTGGCGCCGCTTGGCAGCCGGGTCGTCCCAGTAATGATGCTGGGCTCAGATCCGACACGGTTCTTCTGTCACTGACCCAGAACCGGCTGGTTCTGATAGGTTTGGGTTTTTCACTACAGATGAGTTTGATTTCAGTTTGACTTTTTGTCTAATTCAGTTTTTATTTTTAGAGTTTTTACTAGTTAAATAGTTTTAATAAGTTATAGTAGCAGTTTTGGTTTTTAAATTCAGAATACCAAAATACTGAGGTTATTTTACATCGATTGGGTAAAGAATACTCAACAGAAAATACCATTTTCAAAAACTGTATTCAGTCACTGCTGAACAACCAGCTGGCTGCACTGGTTCGTTTTTCTAAAGGCTAATAAATTCATAAACATGAAGGATGTTATAATTTCAGTAAGCTTTATAATATTGTCCCAGTGAAAGTTTTTCTCTATTAATTACCGTTTCCATTTATTTCAGTTAACAAAAATGTTTTCTCATTTTGTTAGTTTTGGTAAAACTGTAATGGTTTTGGTTCTGCTGTTCGGGATGGAAACCAGTCCTGAACCTCCACAACTTATTATATTTACCTTGTTAATATTTGGCTGCAGAGATTCATTTCTTGCATTACATCAATGGTCTCAAAGATCCACCATATGAATATGCATCGAGTGTGAATCCTGCACAAATGTTCAGATTTCAAAGAAAATAAATTTTCTATTATTCATGGAAAATGAAGATTAGTGAACAATGAAAACAACCAACAGGATCAAGTTAAAGCTAAAGAAATGTAAATGTAGAATGTGCCGACAGTGATTTTCACTGTTGGACGATTCAGTTACTTCCTGATGACTCACTACTGCCCCCTGGCGGCCGTTCAGCTCCTGAAGTCTTCATCATCATCGTCATCATCGTCATCATTTTTAATCAGAAGACACTATTTAATAGTTTCAGATAAAATAATCTGTCAAATAGAAACAAATAAAGAGAGAAGAAGAAAAAACATCCATAGATCCCAAAACTTTTTTAATTTTATATTTACTGTTGCAGAAGTTTAAAGATAAAAAGTGGGATTAATGAGTTAAAATGTGTTTTTTTTTTGTCGTTTTTTTTACAAAATTAACCAAATATTTATTAAAATGTGTCCGATTTGTTCACTTTGTTCTGTTCTGATTTGTACCATTAATTCTTATTAAATGGGGATTTAAAGGAATCTGATGGTTTATTAGAAGTTTGTAACATGAGTTTCTCTCAGATCTGGAATCATTTCATTTCTGGTTTTCCTTCCCGGATCTTCATCAGGATGAAATCAACATGGTGATGTCATCAACTCCTTCAAAATAAAACCATTTTATTTAGATTTAAGCATTTATCTGATGCTTGAATTGTTACAGTCACACTCGGACTGGTTTTTCCTCCCAGCTGTACGAACCGAAGCTAACAGCTAACAGCTAACAGCTAACAGCTGGACGCTGCTGGTCCCGTTTCCCTCTGAATAAATAATCCTGAATGTTTCTCTGCAGCCACTCAGACTTTTCCACTCAGGAGTTTTCCCTCAACGTTTCTGGAGGAGGATCTGAGTCAGTCAGGGCTGGTAGTGTCTGTACTGGGACTGAGGCGCTGCAGGGTTGCCGGTTCCGAACCGGAGCGGCGGCGTTGAGCCAACAAAGGCAGTCCTGTAGCTGTGAGAGGAAGGGAGTCTGAACCCGGCGCCCAGGCCCGGCATCGCCAGGCCCCGCCCCGCCCCGGGCCCCGCCCCCAGCATCCCGGCGTACGGCGGCGCCCCGTAGGAAAGTCCCAGGCCTCCGTAGGGCCGGTGGGTGTGCTGGCCCGGGGCGGGCAGCACCAGCGGCGCCACGTTCCGGCCCGGCGTGTCAAAGGAGAACTCCGGCGGGGGGCTGCTGGACTTGGAGGGCGTGGAGGTCAGCGGGTCGAACTCCTGGCCTCCCGCTGAGCCGTACAGAACCGGAGGGAAGGAGGCGGCGTAGCCTTCAGGAGCCACCGGCAGCGGCGGCGTGGCGGCCGGGGAGGACAGCACGCCGCTCAGCAGGGGGCGGGTCCAGTCGTCCTTGAAGATCTGGACGGTCAGCGTGGCGACGAGCGGCAGCAGCCGGTTGGTGACGTGGGCCAGAACCAGCTGCTCGTTGGCGTCCCGCCGGATCCGGACGTGGGCGGAGCCAGCCTGAGCACAGAGAGGGTCAGAGGTCAGAGATCAACCAGAACTGAGGCGGCGGCCAGGAAACTGCTCGTTTCCATGACAACCCGACAGCGTGATCGCTTGGGTCCAAAGAGAACATCGATGTGGACCTTCAGCATCCAAACAGTGAACGCTGCTGTGTGTCCAGGCCTCTCTCTCCTCATGGGGACGATCAGGCGTGGAAAAGGACACAGAGAGAGAGGGAGGGCGGGCGAGCGAGCGGCCCCGGGGGCTGGAGTGCAGTCAGGGGGGTCAAATGGGTTTGGACAGCTGCTCCGTTAGCGCTGGGCCAACAGCGAGCAGAAACATCCACACATGACAACAAGCAGCACCGCGGGGGCATCGATAGCCCCAAAAACCATCACAGCAGGGTAAACAAAGGTAAACACTGCAGGCTGCGCCCCCTGCAGGCCGGCAGGGGAACGGCACCTCACAGGACAACAACACTGCACTAAGTTTCAGTTTTATTGATTACCTGATTCTATTTTATTAAGTATTACTGCTACATGATGCTGTAACCACAACAAGGACTTTCCTTCATCTTATTGTCATGATGCAGCAAAAATCAGGAATTTATCCTGAATGAACAAACGCAGGCAGTGGAGTCTGACTGCTGCAGATCTGGAGGTATTTTTATTTACTCAGCTTCATCCGTCACCTTTATGCACACCAACAATGAATTTAAATCACTTAAACATTATTCATGTTTAATTCGTAAAGTTTGTTCCAAAATCACTGAGACTTTTGGCAGCGTCTCTAATAAATCCATTATCTTTGTCTGGTATTTGGCATATTTCACCTATTTTATTCTTTTACACTGTGTGGGTTTGTTGTTTAGAGTCTGTGAACAGACAGTTTATTTTATGATTTTTATATTTCTACTTTTAGGTTTTAGAAGAAAAAAAATAAGTTTGATGAAAGAATCAAAATATTTTCTTAAACTTTAAATTGATGGTGAATAAAAACTGAACAAAATAAACATTTTTCTGCACCAACATTACATGAAAACAGAGAAAACTGCTAAAGTATTGCAGAGCTGCTGTCTTGTTTCAATCCATCATGGCTCCCATTTCTTTTGCAGTAAAATTTATTTTGGTCCTAAAAACAAAGAACTTTAATGAATCGGATAATAAAAGGAGTCTGTGTTTCTCCATCAGAATCTCTGATATCATGAAAAGCTGCGCTGTGTGTCAAATGGGCTCCAGCTGAGCGGTTCTGCTGAGTAATCGGACCTTTTGTCTCCGTGTTTCCCCGCTCCCCGGCCAGCTGGACCGTCCGCAGCCCGGATGACGACATCAGAACCGACTCAGCGTGGTGACGGCGCGGCGTTCCCTCAGAGAACCGGAAGCGGAGCAGAGGGACGGTCCGCATGAATGACTCGTCCTCTGGTCCGCCCGGATGGGCCCACCGCTGACGCCCTCAGCCCACCAATCACAGCGCACCAGGCCCACCGGCCGTCCAATCACCACACACCTACCAGAGACCCAAACCCAACGGTCCAGAAGTGCTCGTTCCGGACCTCCAGGACGCCGTCCAGAGTCGACACCTGATTGGACACAAACAGAAACAGTTTCTACGCCTGTGATGACAACACAGGATCACACGATCAAAAATCAATAAAGTTTAAATTATAACAAACTGGAAGACATTTTAAATAAACTAAACAACAAATAAGATGAATTACGAAGTTCCTTCAACACGACCCACAGAACAAGACAGAAAACTTTTCTGGTTCAGTTTCGGTAGAAAGAGGAAGGCGATAAATCAAATATTTTACTGAACTCGTTCATCATGTGATTCTTTGCTCACAGCGACTGGCGCATGTTGGATTTATCCCAGATTAGGACCGACTGCTGGAAACTCATGACAGGAAGTAAATCTTACTTCAAATCTACAGATAAGACGTCGGTACCGGTCCGATTAATGAGACCCGGCTGATATCAAGAACTCCTGTTTGTTTCCGTCTTGTTGCTGTTTGTGAAGAGGAAGAGGAGGGAGCTGGTCATGTGACTGATAATGATGCAGCAAAGGATTATGGGATGTTTAACTGAAACAGAGGAGTGCTGCCAGTGATGTCATCGTTATTTAGATTATTGGTAAATATTGATGTTTGGTTTCCTCCAAACATTCAGCTGAACATGAATGTTGTCCTTCATTCAGTTTGTTAAGCATTGAC